ATACTCGATTCTACCAAAGTTTTACCAAAAATCAAACTGGTCAAAAAGTCAGCAGTCAAAGTCAACTTAACAGATCTCCAGGCTGTTGCAAACTGCTGGCCATGTCATGGCTGCCAAACAACAAAACCGCCGCGATGAGTCTCGCCACCACGTTGTGGGGCTTCCTTGTTCATGTCGCGTTTTCAGTCTGAAATAGTTTTCTTTATTAAGAGCTTAATCCATAAAGACCAAGGCTCATAACATCAGATATGGTTCTTAATAGCTTCATAATGGATAAAGTTTCAAACTTTATCCATAGGATGGTCCAAAGAACCAAGATCTAGACTTTAAGTCTCAAAGGACCAAGAATGCATCTTTCTCAACTTAATCCGTTAAGTCCAAGTTTCCAACCTTCAGATCTGAATCAACATGATGTCTAAATGGATAAAGTTTCCAAATTTATCCATTATAAGGCCACTCACTTCCAAGATCTAAAACCCTAAGTTGATAAACAGACAAAAACCTATCTTTCTTTATGTATGGAGTAAAAAGAGCTCTTGCATGCACTCTCTACTCCACCAAATGACCATATATTATTGCAATATCAGTAAAAAGTTCAAGAGCTTTACAAAATCTTTGGAACAAGCCACCAAGGGACCAAAACTCATTAAAATGGACTAAAAATCCATATATTCATAGATCTGAAGATAAAACACAATAAAGCTTAGAACTTTATGACTTACAAAGGTCTAAGAGGTGAATGAAGGTTGAATACTTCAAATGCATAGTTTCAAAGACCAATCTTTCTTGTTCTTCTTCCTTCTAGAGCACAATACCACCAAAAAAGCACCAAATGGACATTAAGAGAGTACTAAAATGGATTTAGGAGAGACGATGAGTTCCAAACACTTCAGTGGAGGCTAGGGTTTCATTATAGGTGTTCTAGAGGAGGTAGAAGCTAAAATTGACAAAGTCCTTAGGGTTAACGATCTTTAAATACCCCCAAAACCCTGAAAAACATGCATCCCATTGGGCTGGGGCTCCCCACGCTTTTAAAGGGCTCTCTGTGCTTTCCTGTAAATTCCTGATTTTCTGGTTTTTAGCTTCAGCTTCAAACGATCATAACTTCTTTGTTCTAACTCCGTTTTCAGAGATCTTTATGTGCACACATATCTATTGACAAATCCCGCAATTCTATCCACTTAATTTTTGGCTTAAAACATACATAACTTAATTTATTAATACATACAAAAGTACAAAATATCACTTTTTCCGCTTGATCCCTTTGCCTTCAAAACACAAATCAAGGACTTAAATCACTTAACCAACATTATCAACATCCAATAAGGTCTCAACTTTATTCACTTGAAGCCCAAGAATTTTACTTGATCAAATTACGGTCCACAATCCCTAAATAAGAAACATCCCGAAACTGGATGTTATACAATATGATATTACCTAGACATTCCTTATTTGATAGAACTTGGTATTCTTTGGAATTATTGAGGAATCTGAGATATTGTAATTATAGTTTAAAGATTAATATTTAGTAATAATTGTATGTAGGTCGTTTAAAAAGGGAAAACTAAAGTGTTAGGTGAAGAACTAACAAAGTTAATGCATTGTTACTTTCATCTTACACATAGATACAAAAGTATTTAAATGCTTAAATGATATATGCATTTGTTATTTGCACTTATGATATTTTTGTTATTAGATAAAGTAGCATGTCAGGATTATGCTAAATTAAACCATATAATGTTGGAATAATTGTCTATTTTATACTTAATTTATATTGGGTAGTGAAAGGGCGTGAAAGATAAAATAGTGGTGTGAGGTAATGACCAACATTGTATTATTGTACTACTGTGACTAGTTATCTAGCATAATGTAGATGACGACCACTGACTATTCTAGACAGTCTTGTGGAACGCTAGGAGACTCACAATCTGTAGGTGTTAATGAACTGTGTGTTCATTCGTGTACTCTATCCCCTTATGGTTGCTTTTATTGACTTATATTGTTCATGAATCCCCGAAGCAGTATTGTCCACTCGTTCTTTATAGTGATCCATTAGGTTATGCCCCTTGAGATCTTCATTTTAGGATCAATGTGTGAGAATAACGTTAATGAATAATCAGGTTAATTATTTTATGTGAAATATATATTTTTAATTTTTTTTAATATATTATTGTGGGTTAAAAACTCGATGTACTCACTAGGCTCCCAAGCATGACTCTTTTAATTTGTTTGTATTACAGGTAGTGGTACGAAGACTCTAGGATAATGATTTTAATCTGCCGAGTGATTTAAGAAGATTATGACTAATAGTATAATAAACTGTTGTAAGGCCTGTAATAACTCATTTATGCTTATGTTATCTGTATCGATTATGACATCCAAAAGTTTTAATATTAATGAAAACAAACTGATTTCATCTTAAAAGAAAATTGTTTTGAGACAATTTCGTACCAAAGTATTCTTGTAAAGGATATCCTATTTTAAATAAGCATAATGTTTTTTTATTTGACCGAGAAAATTGGGGATAATACATAATGTTCAAAAACCACTTACAAACAAATTTATATTTTTGAATACTTTTTCACATACAAGCAGGGACGGCTCAACCATTTTGGGGGCTCTAAACGAACCAAAAATTTAGGGCCCTTTGACATTCAAAACAAAACCAAATTATGAGGCCAAACAACTTAAACTTTTTAGATAATCAAGTTAACGGTTATGTGACACATAAAATATAAATTAAAAACTTTTTCTATTTTGGATGCTATATTTCTAATAAATCAATTATATACAATCTAATTGAAATCTCACATGCAATTCCACAGTATTCTGTCATTAATCAGGAACAAAACATTGTCCAATAGACAAATACTTTCAGATGTTAGTTTATTATGAAAAAAAATCATTCATTAGATTGCAAAAAAGGTTAATTTATTATGAAAAAAAAATCATTCATATGTAGTCTCTAGTGTCACTGTCATTTATTCAGACAGTACATAATGCATCTTGATCATTTTTTTTGAAACAGATACAATCTGGAGCAACCTAAAAGCTGCCAATGCCAAACTATGAGAATCACTAGTATGTTAATACTTGATAGACTAGAATGTTTACAAATACAAAAGATTTGGAAAAAGATGGTGGTGATTGATATAATGTCCTTTTTGCCCTCATATATGTGTTCGTTTACAAGTATGACTGGATAGACTAATTATGATAATCTTGTTGACCTGTGATAACATCTCGAACTTCAGTTTTAATGGTATATGGCATAAAAGGGTATAAGGCTAAAATAGCAACTATTTTTATAACTAGTTAACTATCAGTGTCAACATTCCTGGCTTGTGATTGCAATAAGTGGATTAATAACTAGTTAACTATCAGTTCTTCAGTCCTTTAACAAATGACATCCGTGATTGTGTCATGTCCATTGTGAAAAGATTAACCCTAATCAATTCATTCAATTGGCTATTAACCCCAATTAGATAATCAGAGATAATAGAAAAAACAAAACTGAAAAGTGAAAATACAAGCATATTACCGTTTCAATGACAACATAATAGCATCAGATCATCAAAATCAATGATTTTTTAGCAATGGAGAAACCATAACCGAGAATGAAGATTGAAGAAGGAAGAAGATCGTGAAGAACAACAGCGTGCAACAATTCAGCGAAGCGATTCACAGAAGAGTAGATTAGTAGAAGAAACGATTGGAGAAGGCTTAGCCTCTTAGAATCGAGAACGAGAATGCAGAAAAAAATCGGAAGTTTAATCGCTGTATGTAGTCGTCGCTTGAAGAATGGATCAGCAATACGCGTGATTTTTTGGAAACTACTAAGCTTGGATCGAAAGAAAACGGGGCCCCTAAGCCCTACCTTAACTAATCAAACAATAAGGCCGGCCCTGCATACAAGATGGAGCATTCATTAAGATGCACCTTCGCGTGCTTGAGTAGGTGATTGTAAAGATGAAGGTCGTGGACTAGAAAACAAAAGAATAAAATATGTTGATGATTTTTTTGTTTTTCTTCTCGAAAAGCATATGAATTTTGCTATCTTTTTAATTTACGATATATATATATATATATATATATATATATATATATATATATATATATATATATATATATATATATATATATATACTTAATCAGTGTGAAGACAAGCTTGTTGAATGAAGAACTACAAATTGAACGTCAAACACATATCAACATATATAAACATACTAACATGTTTAGTATAACACTCATCACAAATCATAACATAATTAGCAAACACACTTTAGATATAAGTAAAAACTCAATAGATGGATGCACAAAATTCCAACTTACAATACTTACAAGGATAATGTAATCCCAAAACTCTAATGGAGTGAGTGTTCACACAAAACCAAAGACAATTTTAACGTAAAGGAAATGTCTAAAGCAATCTTCAATTTCCTAGCAAGGACAATTTTAACTCCTTAATCCTAACAATGTTAGTAGACAAAATTGCAAAAATGGTCCCTGTGGTATGCATTTTTTTTGGGTTTCAGTCCAAACCTCGATTTTTTTAGATTCATGGTCCTTTTGGCCTAGTTTGTACGTAGAAATAGTCCCTCGACTTAACTTCCGTTCAGTTATTGCTGTTAACCCCCTCATGTGCATCTCACATGAGGGTATATTTGTCTTTTCACATATAAAGGACCATTTTTGCACCTAAAAAATATATCTTTTTTTTTTAAAAAAAGAAATAGAAATTAATACCTATTTATTTATTTTAATAATTAAAAAATAAAAAAAGGTTTCTTTCTCTCTCTCTCTCTCTCTCTCTCTCTCTCTCGTCTTCCTCTCTCGATCTTCCATTTTCTTCTTCCCAAACACAATTGTTGAAGAAGCATAACCCAAAATCCCCTGTCGAGCATCATCCCCTGTTGAGCATCAAACAAACAAACACACCCTTGGATGGCTGTTTCCGGTGAGATCAAGAGGAGCTATAACCCTTTCGATGAATACAATCGATGTTCAACACCTCCGCAACCCTCCTACAGTCGAAAAAGCACAACCCCAAACACCCCACCTCAATCGTTGTTGTTGCAGCTGCTCTGATTCCCTTCCGAATCGTTGCTATCGATGATGAGAAAGAAACCACGATGAGACTCGACGGGGAGCAGCCTCGCCACCTTCTTCAGTTATTCGTTGCATCTTCCCCCTTTCGCACCTTTCCTTACCGAAGTTGCTGTTGAGGCAATGGGTCGACATCCACGGAGACTAACGACACAATTACCCCACCCATCTTCTCTCAACACACGCCCAATTACCCCACCCATCTTCTTTCTTCTTGTTTCTCACCTGCACACACGATCACAAAAAACCCATTTTTTTGAGTTCCAGTTCCAGTTGTCAAAGTTCAACTCATGTTAATTGGGTCTTCTGTAAGCTTTAAAGAAGACAAGCTTTCCAGGCGAATAGGTGGTGACGAAGACGAAGATTTTCAAAACAAAATCAGAGTTGATAACCCTCCCCTTTCTTCTCTGTTTACCTAGGTTCCAAATCGAAGCTTGATTTGTCTCTATTTGCAAATCGAACCATGGACCCACTCGAACCCAAATTTTTAATATTTGCTTCCTGGTTGATTTTTAATTTCAGAACTTGATTTTTGGTTTTTGAACTTGATTTTTTGGTTGAAGCTGAATGTTCGATTCTCTAGTTGAAGTTGATTTTCGATTTCATAAGTTCAAATACAACCTACCATCGCAGGTTTGGTTTTTTGTATTTTGGATGGAGAGAGAGAGAGAGAGAGAGAGAGAGAGAGAGAGAGAGAGAGAGAGAGAGAGAGAGAGATAAACCTTTTTTATTTTTTAATTATTAAAATAAATAAATAGGTATTAATTTTTATTTAAAAAAAAGATATATTTTTAGGTGCAAAAATGGTCATTTATATGTGAAAAGACAAATATACATTCATGTGAGATGCACATGAGGGGGTTAACAACAATAACATAACGGAAGTTAAGTCGATGGACCATTTCTACGTACAAACTAGGCCAAAAGGGAGTTTTTAACTTGACCATGGTATATATGAAAAATATTTGCCGATTACTAGGAGTTTGAAAAGTAATTATCAAAGAATGGCAGATTAATTATTAGTCCTATTTTTATATTCATAAATAAATAAATAAATTAAAGTGGACCCTACCAGTACCCTTTCTTCTCTTTTTTTCATTGGAGCTACCATTTTTGCCACTAAAGTGGAGCCCCTTCTTCATGTGAAATAACACATGCTTCTAACTAGCTATCTCTTCTGGGAAGAGGGTTTGTTGCACAATTGAAATCATTCAAGTAAATGGGTTTATCTCATTATAACTTAATTTCTGGTAATCTCTCGGATTAGAAATCATTCGAGCATCTTAGGCTAATTCATTTTTAGATACCTTACTTGCTTCATCAGTTGATTGCCATCATCAATGGAGTGGCTTTTGTTTCTTACTTTAGCCGAAAACTTGCTTGAAGCGGGAGTTCCCACTTCAATTTCTTCTCTACAATTAACAATCATCGCCTGGTAACCTGTCATTCAATCGTTTCATCTACATGAATTCTCCAAGATTCGTGTTTTATAAAAGTATACAGTCCTTATTGCCATCAAGTAAGACGGTACAACCATTATGTCGTTTCTCTCTCTAGGCGAGTTTGCTTTCAACTGGGTTTTCTGACGATCTTTCGGTGGTGAGTGGTGGAGGAGTGTTGGTGCAATGGTGCAATGGATTCAGAGCTTCTTACAACGATTCCACTACATTCTTAAGCGGGATTGTTGACTACATTTAAGATTGATAAATGGATGGAACTACAAGAAAAATTCCAATTAACAAATTATGGAAGATGACGTACACACAAAGGCCATAACAGGAGGTCAGTTAGATCCCAGCCGTAAAATGAATATTTCCATGGAAACTCTTCTAGAGAAGAAGCCCATCCTTTAAGAATCTTTTTGTGCCTAAGGATATTGTTAATGGTTTTTGATAGGTTTAATTGGCAATACTGGTAATTCAAGAAATGGTGAGGAATGGAGATTGCATAAGGATAATGCCAGTAATTTAAGAAACAATGGCTCAAACATGTAAAATTTGTTCATATCAAAGAGATGGGTAGAAAACAGAAATTGGAAAAAAAGTTTGGTGGCCCGTGGACGAGGGGAGGGATGGAAAAGATGTCGGAGATGACACGATGTTAGTTGTTGGTAGAATTCACTGTGGTGTGACGTGTTTTCGATTTTTCTTTTAATAAAAAAGGGTTTATAATTGTATTAACTTTGTTTTGGTAATTACTTTTTCAAACACTATCTTTAGGTAAATAAATTTTGTAACTACTATGCTTAAGTTAAAAACTCGGCCAAAAGGACCATGAATCTAAAAAAGTCGAGGTTTGGACTGAAACTCCAAAAAAATGCATACCACAGGGACCATTTTTGCAATTTTGTCATGTTAGTATGAAGAAAATAAAAAATATAAATATAACATAAATAAATAAATGTTTAAAAAAACACATGATATATATTTTAAAAAGGGATTGAATTATTTTAGAAAGTGACCCAGGAATATTCCTCCTCTGTTTGCACGACTGTTTTGGCGACTGGAATTCTGATATCCTGCATTTGCCCATACGCTAACAAAACTGTTCCTCAAACCTCATTGGCTCAAATGGAAACTCCTCTCCTCAAATTTCGCTATCCAGGAGTTCTTACTGTAAACCGCGACACACCTAATTCCAAACTCTAAAACTCATTATCCGCTTCTTTCCGTAGACTTAACAAAAGTCAAATTTTACTCGTTTCCCACTCCCAAGTCACCCCTATCTTCAACTCGAATAAAAAGAGATTCAAGACCATGATCAGAATCAATAATGGAGTAACTGAAAATTCATCATTATCCAATCAATGACAACAAAAGTTTCTTCTTCCAAAACGATGGTGGAGCAACGGCGTAGCAACCGCAGCCGTCATACCAAATTCCATGTATTCACCACCGTCTGTTTGATAGCAATCATCTTCACCTACATGTTCAACACAAACACCTTCGTTTCAAACATCTCATTCAATTTCACTCCAAACACCACAATCCCTTTTCTCTCTGTCAATCTTTTGGACAACCAAACATTCATCGTGAATCAGTTGAAATCGACTTCAACGTTACACAATCCAGTCTTGATCGTTAAAGAAGTTATTGTTCAAAAATCGGTTTCCGAAGATGATCAGAACCCACTGGTTCCACCCATTAATCTCACCAAGAAACAAAGAATCAGTTGGTTTAAAAACAAGCTTCCGGAGTTTGATATGTTGAACTCCAATCAAGAATTTGAAATTCGGGCGAAAGAATTCTTTCAAGACTGTAAAGTTCGATTCTTCATGACATGGATTTCGTCTCCTTTAAGGGTTTTCGGAAAAAGAGAGTTTCTCGCTGTTGATGCTTTGTTTAAATCAAATCCAGAGAGTTGTTTGATGATACTATCAAACGTTATGGATTCGGATTTCGGGTTTCAAACCTTGAAACCGATAATTGATCGTGGGTTTCGGGTTCAAGCACTCACGCCGGACTTGAACTTCTTGTTCAAGAACACTCCGGCGAAGTCGTGGTTTGATCATATCAAGAACGGGAATCGGGATCCCGGCGAAATCCCATTAGCGCAAAACCTATCGAATTTGATCAGACTCGTGGTTCTTTATAAATTCGGTGGTGTTTATCTCGACACTGATTTCATTCCTTTGAAAGATTTCAGCGGTTTACGAAACTCGATCGGAGCTCAAAGCGTGAACTCGTTGGGCAACTGGACAAGATTAAACAACGCAGTTTTGATCTTCGACAAAAACCATCCTTTGTTATACAAATTCATCGAAGAATTCGCGTTGACTTTTAATGGAAACCGATGGGGTTTCAACGGACCTTACCTTGTATCAAGAGTAGTTGAAAGAGAAACAACAGAATTAGAGTCAAATTTCACTGTTCTTCCGCCGCTGGCGTTTTATCCGGTGGACTGGACACGAATTGGCGGGTTGTTTCTCCGGCCGGTGAACCAGGCTCACCGGAAATGGGCGGAGACGAAGGCGGCTCAGATTAAGGAATCGAGTTACGGGATTCACTTGTGGAATAAACAAAGTAGAAGATTTAGAATCGAAGAAGAAAGCATCATGGCGAGGTTGATCTCCGAACACTGTGTCATCTGCAAGTTCTTCAAGAAAAGTCAAAGACTTTCACACAATTCTTTTTCCATTTCATGATTATTTTTTGAAAAGTTTCCTCACGTAAATAACAAAAAATGGTCCAATAAAACCATATTTGTTTTTTTCATTAACACAACAAGAATAAAACGTATGCAGTATGCACTATTTGCTACGAACATTGTAATTTTTTATGCTTTCTTTTTTCCTCTCCAAATCCGAGAACAAAAACGAAGTCTCGGCTTCAATCTAAACCTAAATGGAAACCGAAATCTAAACTTGTAGAAGCTTGAAAATTTGCTAAACGACTTCTTTCTGGTCAACTTCTGGTTTCCAAGTTGATATTCTTTATGTTCGTTTTCGTGTTCTTGATGTTTTTCGAGTTCTTGGTGTTGTTGAATGAATCTGCTACTATTCTTCGTTATACCCATCCATGGATCGTCGTGAATGGCGTCGTCGGAGTCACTACCCCATAACGGAATTGTCTTTGTTTCTGGCGAGCAACAGTAAAAGTCGAAATGATTAGCTAAACTTGTATGCTCCATATCGAATAATCTTCTCAAAGATGTGCTTCCTTTTTTCATCAAATTCAAGAGCTTTCTACTTTGGTTTTGGTCGAAAGATGAACAAGAAGAACGTGAAGCAGCGCCTGTTGAGGTTGAGGAAGATGATGATGATGATGTAGACTGGTAATGATTCTTCTGATGTTTTATAAGTTGTCTGATCTTTTCCTTTTGAGCGTCTCTGTTATGGAGGAAGTATGAGTCTTCATTATCGTCTTCTTCTGTTATCTCAGACGCCATGGATGGAGCTTCAAGAATGTCGATTAAACAAAGTTTTAGTTTTAGGGGAATAATGAAAGGATTTCATATTGGACGTAAAATCAAACGCCATGGCCGGCAAAATGAAAAGTTATCTAATACAATCGACCTTTGTTTTGTCATTTACTTGTTTGGCATATCAACTTTTTAAACATTCTATTCTTTTCGTCTCAAGAAAAAGATATAATGACTATTTTAACTTATTTATCAGTAAGTAGTACATTAGTTTTCTTATAATGGGTTAATCATGGAAATTAAAGAACTTGGTTTGTAAAAACGTGATCCTATATTCAGATGTATAATAAATCTTTATAAATTAACAACAAAATTGTAAAAATGGTCTTTGTGGTTGTGGTTGTCAAAATTATATGTTTTGGTCCAAAAAAAGTTTGGTTCTCTAGTAATGGTTCAATAGTAATGGTTCAATTTTAGATATTTTGTATGATTTTGATCCTTAAAGTTGGCATTTATATGAAATTTTGGTCCGTACTCCACTTCAAATGACAAATATGTCTTTAAATATATATATATATATATATATATATATATATATATATATATATATATATATATATATATATATTAATTTCTTTTCTAATTATTCTAATTAAAAAAAGAAAAGAAAAAACACCCCAACCTTTATCTCCTGTAAAACCCAAGAGACAAAGGTTTTTCGTTGGCCCTCTTTCGCCACCGACGTCCGTCACCTTCTTCCATTGCCAACGTCCGTCGCCCTCTTCTGATACTGGTGTATGTAAGATCTGGGGCTCCTATATCTCTCTCTCTCTCTCTCTCTCTCTCTCTCTCTCTCTATCTCCAGCCGTTATGTTCTTCATCCCCAAAAAAACCCTTATATGAAGGAAATATCGGGCCGAAGATCTAATTTGGCCTCCTCACCCGAATCCTCATTGACGAAGATAAATAGATCTCGGAAGATCTGGGCTCTAAAAACCCTTGCTCCGATAATGACCACCAGACCGTCGACGAACACGATGATGTTGTAACTGGACGAACGACACTTGGGCGATGGTGGTGGTGGTTGAAGACCCTAATCGTTGATAGATGGTGGTAGCAACATTTGGCTATGGACAACTCCAGTTAGAAGGGTGTTGGCAGCGTTTGAGAGGCGTCTGAACACCCTTACTTTGATGAGAAGCGCAACATTTCCGATGATAAGGCCAACAACTCCGGAGAGAAGAGTTGCGCTCCGACGTGAACTTTGAGTGGTCACGACGTGAGGAGGGTTAAGATGTAAATTTTGTCCCGGACTGATCTCACGACGTGAGGCATAGAGGTTCACGACGTGAGAACTGATGCAGCCCAAGCCCATGATATGTTAGGGTTTCCTTCATATTTAAGCCCATCTAAACCTTAGGGTTCATTATCAGCCTCCAAACTCCCTTTCACCTTAGAAAACCCTAGCCTTCATTCCTTGTTAGATTCTTGAGCTTTTTGAAGTTTTCTTGGCATGAAGAAGAAGATAAGAAGAAGAAGAAGAAGATGATCTTTTGGTGGAGCTTGCAAGGAATCAACATTTTCATCACCTCATATTGTCTTTGGACCCTTGTAAGTATCAAAGCTTCCACCTTTATTGTTGCATATGGTTAAATATAAGTTTCGTTCCACTTTTCTCCATGTTGAGCAAGTTTGAATGAATGGAAACCATAATGTTGGCAAATTTATGGGTTGAAAGGGGCCTTAGAAGGTCATATAGTTCAGATATGGTGAATGGTTGAGTTTTGAATCTTTGCATGAAAGTTTGATGATCTTTTTCTACATTTTTGGTCCCAAATGAGATCTAGACATGTACTGGACATACATCTCCATAAAGTTTTGACTTTTAAGTGTATTATGGAGTTATAAGACCTTCTGGAAAGTTAAAGTAAAAGGCTTAATGTATTAAGCACTTAAATCGTTGGATTTTTGGCTCCAGACTATGCTCACGACGTAAGACATAGGGTCTCACAACGTAAGGATTGAATGCTCCCATTTCTGCTGAGCTTCTTGGGGTCATGACGTGAGATAAGGTTGCTCACGTCGTGAGGTCAGCTCATATGATTTTTTGCTTGACTGAGTTGGCTAGGTTGGGTCGTGGCGAGTTGGAATCGGACCGAGTGGACTCTCACGACGTGACCAAGGTCTGGTCACGACGTGATGATGAAAAGTTGGTATTATGGGCAGTTGACTTTTAATTTGACAATTGACTTTTCGGTTAAATTTCTATTTTTAGAAGGTAGACTTAGGGTTTACTTTGTGTGGATTGATAGGAGGTGTTTAGCACCCATCATTTGGCGAGAGATCAGTTAGTGGTGGTCGGCACGGTATTGAGCTGAGTGTTAGTCGGCTTCGTGATTCAGGTGAGTCTCCTCACCGTACTCGGGGGTCGAAGGCACCAATGCCGGCCAACTTGTTTATGTTATATAGGAAGACTAGGGCGTGACCCCTGACATTTATATGAAAGACCTGGAGGTGGCTCGTGACAAACTGTATGCAAGACTAGGGACCAAACCCTGGCAGTTATATGTAGTATGCTAGTTGTATGTATGATATTTAGTATTTTAGGGAGCTCACTAAGCTTTGTGCTTACAGTTTTATGTTTATGGTTTTAGGTACTTCCGGTACGAAAGGAAAGGGCCCGACATGACTGCATAACATCCCCCAGAGTTTTCCGCATTGGCAATTTATAGTATTTACTCTAATGTTTAAATAATATATTCACTTAATCGGTATTGGAACAACTCGTTTGTATGGTTTATTGCTTTAGAAAATGAAAATTTTACTATGAATTTTTTGGACGTTACAAGTTGGTATCAGAGCCTTGGTTTGAGGGATTCGGTCACACTATCGGTTGTGTCTGAACTCAAATTGAGGAATTGGTAATCTTTTTGAAAGAAAATAAGTTTTCCAAAAAGTTTTTTATAAAGAAGGGGAGTGATGCGTGCAATCAGCCGAGCTCAAGTAAGTGATTCCCATGATACCCATACATGTTGATATGTTATATGATATGAATCCTTGCATGCTAGGATAAGGATAAGGATACTTATAGGAATTGCATGATAGATTGGCCTGATATGTGATGGCTTGTAACGTAAGAGGAACTGTATGCTATGTTGGATTTGAAATCTGTATTGGTAAAAGTGATTGCTAAGTGTATGCTTTAAAAATTATATACGATTAGGATCATATAGCCCTAGAATGACTGATTTAGCCTTATTTCATGTTCCTCGTCTGGTTGTGATCTTAGGGTAGAGTCTTTTATTCGACAATCTATTTGATCATGTATTGTGTATAATTTGCATGCATAAGGCAACCGATAGAGAGTGTAGAAGTTCCTAGCATGGTAGTAGCAAGTGAGATTGGGATGCCCTTTGTTTGATTTGTCGCTTGAAGTGTTACTGCACGAATGTTGTTTGCTTTGTGATTTGTGGGACCCTTATTGATGTGAGTTAACCATTAAGTGAATACGTTAGGTCACATGCTGTAAAGGTTAAATAATCTCAGAGTGATGGATTTGGCCATATTACACAGCTCTTGTTTGAGTCTAACTGTTGTGGGGTTGAGTCTTATACTTGAAGGATTATCTAAGCTTTGTTGCATGTGATTGTATTCCTGAAGTAGTTAGCTGACATTAGTGGGAGTTCTTCAGCAGCTGATGGCAGGGTGAGGTCGGGAACCTAGGAGAGCCTAGGAAGTGTTTTAGTGGCTACAGATGCGCCGTGTGGCGAGAACTTGTTGGATTAGGTTTCTAAGCTAATAACTATATTATTATAATCTTGGATTATTATCAAAGTCCTTTTGGGTTGCCCTCAAACCTAGTAATGGACTGGAATGGTATTTGGAGAGAGAGACTGATTTAATAATTTGTTATACGATTAATAAATTAATTATAAATAAAAATAAATGATTTAGTAATATATTATGAGAATAATATATTAATTATAAATAGTATTGTTTAATTGAGAATTAATCAGAAATTAATTGGAATTAATTTTGGGATTAATTGGATTAATTAAAAGTGGAAGGATTAAAGGTGACAATGTTCAAAAGTTGAACATTGACCAATTCTAGAACCTCCCTAGGAGGGGGGACTAAATTCTAGATGGTTATAGGGTTTCTAGAGGTATTCTTGGGCTCTAAGGAAGCTTGGAATGCCTTAGGGAGCAAGAAAAGGGGATAAGAGGTTATCTAAGGAAGCTCGCCTTATCCTTAGCCTCCCTATCACCTATATAAACCCCCTTGGGTTATGAATTTCTAAATTCACCTCATTCCAAAGAGAATTTAGAAAGTTCCCTTCCTCCTACTCTCTCCTTTTTAGCCTCCAATTTGCTAGGGTTTGGGTGTGAGCCAATAGAGGCACGAGACTTCTGGTGCTTGTTTTCTGAAGACCAATAAGGACGGATTACTAGTTTATTTGCAATAATAAACTAAGGTATGTATTTTTCTAATAACCCTTTAGTGTTATTGAAAATATAAATGTAGTTCTTGGGATCTTGATATTTAATAGTTGTTTGCAAATCATAGTGAGAACATAGATAGTTTATGGTGCATGTGAACTTAGGGTTTGTGTTTTTCCGCCAGAATAAAAATTTTGTAACATATAAAACCCATCAGTGGTATCAGAGCCATTGTTTTCATTGATCTTGCACAAAGTTGAATATATCAAAATTAGGGTTTATAGAAACTAAACCCTAAGGAAACAATTTTTGAAAATCCCTAGGGTTCTTGAAACCCTAGCCTCCACCCTTAGGGTTTTCGATTTTTGCAAGGTTTTTAGAAACCCTAGCCTCCTCCCTTATTTTAGATTACTTAGAGGGCAAGGTAGGGTTTCCTTATTTGATAATTGTTGTTTTATTTAGTTAAAATAGAGTAATTGAAATTGGATAACCCCAATACCCTTATTTTTCGAAAATTTAGTAGGGATTGGATTAGGATTAAATTTAAATTATTTGATTAATATTTAATAGTAAATAATTATTTAATCT